GCCGATTCGATCGCACCCTATGACGTCATTTTCCGTCATAAAAAAACGGCCGCCATTTTGAATTTTCCAAAAACCTACTTTTGCGAACTCGTCCTAGACGGTTTGTCCGATTTTCACCAAAATCGCACCGGATCATCTCCAGGCAGTGCTGACAAAAGTTATGGAATTCAAGATGATTCGAATAACCGTTTTCGATAAACGCGTAAACAAAATTTACGTAGCGCTTCAGAAAACAGACGTGAGGTTGTATCTCCGCAACGCTTACTCATTTTCAGACCAAACTTGGTACGTGTTATCACAAGCATGACCTGAGGCTACGTGCTGCGTTTCGGCGCAGCGCCACCTAGTGGTCCGGAGATATGAAAAATGGCTATTTTTGCTCGTAACTTCTGAACGGTCTGTCCAAAAATCATAAATTTGGTTCGTTAGATTCAGGGCGTCATGCCGAGTCCACGATATCCAATTTTCCCAGATCGGCCATTTTGGCTGTCGGCCATTTTGAATTATGTGCTAAAATGCTGTAATTTTTTGAACGCATGAACGAATTGTTACGAAACTCGGTATGAGTCATCAGTACGATGCCCTAAAGGAGCCTGAGAAGTTTCGAAACAGCGCCCCTAGTGGTGAAATTTTTTTTTTCAAACGCTTATAGCTTTGGGTGTGGTACACTTATTTTCACGGGAGTCATGTTTTGAGTTCCTGAATCGGTGCCGAGTCCAACGATACTAAACAGCTGGGTTTCGTCTTACGGTTGGTGTAGCGTTGCGATTTAAGCGCGAAAAAAACACTTGGCGATATCTTCAAAACCGCTGTTCCGATCGAGACGAAACCATCGTCAGAAACACGGAATCATAGCTCGTTAACTATATGCTAATGCCCAAATGCGAAATATTGATAGTAAGGGGTAGTAAAATTCAAAAAAAGTCATGTGTCAGTCATTTTTACGTGTTTTTTCATATAAATGTTTATAACTCGGAAGCGAATTGAGATATTTTCACCAAAATTGACACACATATGTATGGGCTCACTCTGAAGACAGGAAAAAAATTGTGGGACTGAGGCTCTTGGTGCGCTATAAAATAAGAAAACGTGAAATTCCATTGACTTCAATAGAGTTTTTGTGAAATAAAATGCTATACTAAACAAATGCATTGGTCTAACATTACGAAACTAAGTTTGTGCCATAAATAGCATGCCCTGAAGGTACTCAAAAGATTTTGAGACAGCGCCACCTGTTGGTCAAAAGTTATAACTAATTTCTGAGAACGCTAATAACTTTTGAACAAATTTGCCTATTGCAATGAAACTGATCTTAATAGATTCCTTGGGTTATGCCGAAAACATAGATATCGGTTTTGCATAATCAGCTAAACTTCCTGTCCGCCATCTTTATTTCTTTGAAAAACCTTCTTTTTCGAACTCCTCCTAGACCATTTGTCCGATTTTCACGAAAATTGAATCGTATCATCTCCAGACGGTGCCGAATAAAAGTTATGGATTGCGTGACGATAGACAAAACCGTTTTCGTATTACCTCAGCATAAATTTGAGGCATTGGTGCCAAAATGACTATTTAGGCTTTATCTCTGCAATGCCTTTACATTTTGACACCAAACTTTGTATGTCATTGTCATCTCACTCTGAACACAAGGTATCGATTTCATAACTGCGCCACCTATTGTTCGAAAGTGATAAACCATTGAATCATTTTATAAGTTACTGTATTTGTATTTTAAGCCATTTTGTCTAAATTCATCTTTAAATGTCTTCAATTGCGTCTTGCTGCAGTTGGTCTGACACATGTTGGCTTGTCTTTTTGTCGTCTTTGCGCTTGCCCCGGTATTTGCTGCTTGCAGCTATATTTATTATTATTATTATTATAAGTCTTTCTGTATATAACATTTGGCTGGATTCAGTCACTTCAAAAAAACTTAATTGACAACACAATAATGTGAATCTGTGAGACAATGTCCATATCATATCCGGTTGAAGGGCACGCTGGCGCGTTTTGCTGCCGCTCCTCTCTCCCATTTTTATTTTTAATTGTTTTTATTTTGGCTATGAGCCAGTAAAGTCTATCTGTGTTTTGTATTTTTTTCTCACTTTCTACCCGTGATGTGGAATTATGCTTCGCACGCTGGACTACTGCTTCTATCTCTGAGTACTGTTTACTGGAATTTACTCTTCTGTTGCTTGGCCCAGGACGTACACTGCTTACACGCTGTGAGGCTGCTGTTGGTGTGGACCTTCCCCAAATGGCTATCAGGTACACTGCTCGCCAGTTGTTGAACCTGAACAGACGTTTTGATACAGCGAATGATATACGAGCTCTCTGCAGTCATGTTGGAATACTGCGACCTAAGCGGTACATACATCGCTCTTCAAGGCGTAGTTTTTTAAGCTCAACATCTAAATCTGTCGCTTATCCGAGATTTCTGCGTGAACCCCATAGACTGCCGTTTAGACCTACAGGGGTTAATTTCAATAACTTATCAGCATTCAGGCGTGATGAGGTTGCATCGGATGCATCGGCTCCCCCGCGTCTGCTGAAATCAGCACTGTTTAACGCGCGCTCGGTCAACAACAAAGCTGTTCTTTTATCTGACATTATTTTAGAAAAAAAGCTGGACCTTTTCTGTTTAACTGAAACTTGGCACAAAGAATCTGACGGTCTTCTTTTTAATGAACTGACTCCTGCTGGCTATGGATTATTTGATCTCCCACGTTCTTCTGGTAGAGGTGGGGGTATCATCGTGCTGCACAGTCTAAAGTTCAACTTGTGTCCCGTGGCTGCTCCCAAATTTGCCTCATTTGAATGTCTTGTTCTGAGTGTCTCTACGCCCCTTCCGACTGCAGTGGCTACAGTCTACAGGCCTCCTAAGACTAATAAAGACTTTCTATCTGAATTATCAGATATGTTGTCTTTTCTCTTCCTCAGATTTGAAAGAATTCTTTTACTGGAGGATTTCAACATTCATATGGACATAAAAGACTCCGCAATAACAAAAGACTTTCTGTCCATATTGGAGTGCTTTGAATTAGACCAACTAGTGGACTGTCCTACGCATGACAAAGGCCACACCTTAGACCTTGTGATTTCCAGTGGTTCATTTGTGACTCAGTTAACTACCACTGATTTAGGTCTGTCTGATCACCGGGCTGTCATTTTTAATTTGGAAATACCTGTCATGTATACAAACACTTCACGCATTATAAATTATAGGAATTGGAGATCTATTGAGCCCTCTGATTTTTCTGACTTTATTGACTCTCTTTTAAACTGTGACTCTCTATCTGATGATCTGGATGACAATGTTTCAATGCTGAATTCTGTACTGTTGTCTGGCCTGGATACGCTGGCTCCCTGGAAATCACGATCTGTTTCTTTTGCACGCTCCGCTCCTTGGTACAATGATGATCTGCGTGCCATGAAGACTTTGTGTCGCAAAATGGAGCGTAGATGGCGCACCTCAGGTTTAGCTGTTCATCACCAGGCCTGGAAAGACAGCTTATTCAAATATAAGTCTGAAATTGTGTCAGCAAGATCTGTTTATCTTTCTCGTATAATTGTCAGCAATCAGAGAAACCCAAAAAAACTGTTTCACTCAATCAACAAGCTGCTTAAAAATCACAGCGTCTCTAATGTTCCTGCTTCAACTCACCTTTGTAATATGTTTTTGGAGTTTTTTAGCACCAAAATTGACAATATTCGAAACCACATTGTTGCCACTCATACCATTGCTGCCTCCTCTTCAGATACATTTGCATTTTCTGGTGTCTCGCTCTCTAATTTTGCAATTCATGATTCCCAGTCTCTGTGGCTGCGTTCCAAACCGCATACTTCCCTACTATTTAGTATGGGAAAAAGAGTAGGCGAGCAAAAAAGTATGAATGAATCCAAAAGAGTAGGCGAGAATTACCTGGGTGACGTAGCAATTGTCGCGAGATTCGGACTTAAGTGCGTTCCAATATGCCTACTTTCCTACTATATAGTAGGCGAAAACAGTACGTGAAGGAAGCAGTACGTTCCAAACATCAGTTTTCATAAAAAGAGTAGGCGAGAAGTTCCCGGATGACTTACTGCTTCCGCCCAGATTTTTGAGTGCTTTTCCACGGCTACTCATGATACTCATCTATCCCAGGAGGCCACGCGAGAGGATACGTCAATGCACATAGCTTGCAAACTGCCAATAAAAATCACAGAAGAAGAAGAAGAAGAAGAAGAGAGGATACGTCAATATCAACATCGCGGAGATAAGCGACGCGGGGGTTTTCAAATGTGAGTAAATACGGTTTAAATCGTATGTGTTAAACTACTATAGAGTAAACGTTTTAACTGTTGAACGTCTAAAGGAGTTAGACAGTATAGTATAGTTGTGATTTTGCTGTAAACACATGTTTTATTATGTATTGATAACAGGGGAGCTCCAGTAACCGTAAAGTTACGTTTCCAACGTGTATTTACATAACCATACATCTTAAAAACGCTTATTTAAAATGTCTATTTACATCAGGAAGGAAAATATTGTATAAGTATTGCAGGTGAGCACATCCCAACATGAAAAATACATGTGTGTGTGCTATTATGTAGGATAATTCACTGTTGTCAACACTGCTTACATTAGACAAATTATGTGCTGTGAATAAAAACATATATAAAGTAACTAAACATGATATATATTTAATTTGTCCCTTATTGGTGTTGATATATTGAGGAACATTTAAGTTGGATTAAAAGTGAGTTAACACATCAACCTCAACATGTAAATGCAGTGTTGAGCTCGTAATGTGAATCTTGTCTGTATGTTACAGGGACAGGAGAACACGCGTGTGTTTATCCAGTGGAGAGACGCTCATGATGCTGAATGCTGTCATCAAAGAATGGGAACCGCTGTGTTGAGTCGGCAGTAGGGTTTGGGGTTCAGTGCCTGTAAATACATGCTTGTAGTTTGAATAAAGCTGTTTCATGTGTTGACTTGTATATGCATTTGTTTATTGTGATGGTTACTTTTATTTACTTTTATTTGTTCTTTTACTCATTTATTCATGTTTCTTATTGTTGTCAGTATATAAAATGTAATTAATTTATGCATTAATTCATCGATTGACTGACAATTGAGATGTTTCACTGCATTTAGCAATATAAATGAATTCATGCATTACTGTCATATTACAAAACAAATGACATTTTGCTTGTTTTATTAAATTATATTTTTAGTATATAAAAAGTTATATAAGTATTGGTCAGCATTTAATATTATTATTTTGTTTAAGTTTTGGGGTGGGCTAACAATGAAATTCATTCTGAGGTAATATTAATTTTTAAGCAGTGATACTTACATTTTTGGAGTATAAAATCAACAGTTTTCTCCAAAAGAGATCTTCAAGCAGCTGCCCGTCTCCTTTGTGCAGACATTACAAGCGCTGTTCTAGGTTGTGCTGTCAAGTTACTGATGTTATGAAGTGTTAGAGCACCTGTCGCTCATATAATTTAAACTTATTAATATGCAAGATCATGGAAAGATACTATAGTTTATGTAACAATCATAGTGACAAAACAGAAAATATAAAGATCATTGGTTTGTGTACATCATAATATGACATAAAATTATATTTATACACAGGAAATAAGAACAATAAAAAAGGCTAAATATCTTCATTATAGTTCTTCATAATACATAAAAAAAGTTGTTGTTATATCTGAGGGATGAAACGAGGTAAATTCATGAAGAAAAAGAGGAAAACTTAAAGGAGAAACTTTTTGGGTATAAAATAAAGAAATTAACAACATAATCAAGAGATGATGATTTTGGGGTTTCTTAATAAAAAAAAAGTATCGTTAGAATAACACTGTTGGTCAGTAGGGTTTAAAATATAACAACTTAAATCAACCCTAAATGTATTCACAAAATAAATAGGCAGCTGTTTCTTCAACAATACCACAACAAAATGAGCAAGTTTCATCAATATCAAGATATTTATAGGTAGATTAATTAAACGTATCGTTCATATTTTTTTTAATTGCATGAAGGTGTTGCGCTTGTGATAACGCGTAGTAGGTCACATGATAACGTCAACATGGCAGATGTCTGGTTCGCATTCATACTCAACGAGATTTGGCTATAAAGTACCTACTCTTTTAGCGCTCGATGAGTAAGTACTTATTGAAATTAAGTACCTACTCATTGAGTATGCGGTTTGGAACGCAGCCTGTGTAATACGGTTTCAAAACTGAAAGCCTCAACTTCTAGAGTTGATCCTATACCATCTTGCCTTTTTAAATCATGTTTTGATTCCCTCTCTCCCTTTGTTTTGAGAATTATCAATAACTCCCTGTGCACTGGTGTTGTGCCAGCTGCACTTAAAACTGCTGCTGTCACCCCTGTACCAAAAACTAACAACACGGACTTTGATAATCTGAATAATTTTCGACCCATCTCTAATCTTCCATTCCTCGCCAAAATTTTAGAACAAACAGTGGCTTCTCAACTACTGTCTCATCTTTCTGCTAATGATCTTTTTGAGCCACTTCAGTCTGGATTTCGGAAACTGCACAGCACTGAGACAGCACTGGTCAAAGTGACTAATGATTTGTTAATGGCATCTGATTCTGGCCGTCTATCTATACTGATTCTTCTTGATCTTAGTGCCGCTTTTGACACTATAGATCATTCGATTTTAATCAATCGCTTAGAGACCATTTTTGGAGTTTCTGATCTCTGTCAGAAGAGTTTCTATCTCTCTGATCGCAAGCAGTTTGTTGTGATGGGTGATTACAAGTCTGAGGTCGGTGTGGTGCGCTCTGGTGTTCCCCAGGGATCAGTTTTGGGCCCGTTACTTTTTAGTATTTACATTTTTCCATTTGGGTAACTTTTAAGAACACTTGGTCTTAATTTTCACTTTTATGCCGATGACACTCAGATCTATTTACATTCAAAACCTGATGTCAATATGCCTGTGTCTTATATTTCTCAGTGTTTTACTGAGATTAGGAAATGGATGTCTGAAAACTTTCTCTGTCTGAACAGTGATAAGACTGAAGTGATGCTTATTGGTTCACCTCATCAGTTGCGTAAAGCAGAGTCCATAACTTTAAGTGTGGATGGCTCAGCTTTAAAATTACAAACTAAACTAAAAAATCTGGGGGTGATATTTGACGCCAATTTAACATTTGACCATCATGTTCGTAACACAGTCAAAACATCATTTTTTCATCTCAGAAACATTGCCAAATTACGTTCTTTGTTGACATTCTCTGTGGCTGAAAAGTTAATCAATACTTTTGTTTTTTCAAGAATTGATTATTGTAATGCTTTGCTGGCTGGGGTTTCTAAAGCTACCCTAAGTAAATTACAGTTGGTTCAAAATTCGGCTGCTAGAATTCTGACTGGGACCAGTGCAAGGGAACACATTACACCAATCCTGGAAAAATTGCACTGGCTTCCAGTCAGTTTTCGTATTGATTTTAAAATTCTCATGCTCACTTATAAGGCCCTGAATAACTTGGCCCCTCAATATTTGCGTGAGCTCTTAACCCCCTACACTCCTACACGTGCTTTGCGATCTTCTGAAGCTGGTCTTTTAACCGTCCAAACAACACGGCTAAAAACTATGGGTGATCGGGCTTTTTCTTCTTTAGCTCCAAAATTGTGGAATTCCCTGCCCTCTGAGATTAGAAATGCAGAATCACTTAGAGTTTTTAAATCCTCCCTTAAAACGTACTTTTTTAGGGTGGCTTTTATGTGATTGTGTGATCACTGTGATTGTTATTTTATTTGCCTTTTATTTTATTGCTTGTTTAGTTCTTATTGCCTAGACTGTTGTGTCTGTCTGATTCCATTATTTTTTATGTAAAGTGCTTTGAGATACTACTTTTAAAGGCACTATATAAAATAAAGTTTTATTATTATTATTATTAATCTGTGAAAATAACTTGGAACTCTTCAGTTGATCTAAAACATCCCGTAGCAAACTCTGATTTCGATCTAAACTGATAAATTAATCCATATGGAAAAAAATTCATTTGGGAATAAATAAATAAAATAATTTTTCATTTTTATTTTTAATTTCTGCAGGTTTGGTCCTGCATATTTCAGTGGCTGTATCTGTGACAATAGAACATATGCTTTAATGTTATTAATAATCATTGGTGCCAATCCTGCCATTTGCTCTGCCATTTCCAGATCGATGATTATATAAAATATAATGATTATTATGAATAATAAAGTCTATAGTTTTGAAGAATGAACAGAGGCTTATGCTCCTTGGCCGACTGAAGGGCGTCACCTCTATCTATGAAAAGTGAGAGTAGTTAGACTGTCACAAATAAATAGATGGACAAGATTAAGACGCACATAATTTCTAATAAATCGTGGTCTGTTTCACCCCGTCGCCAAATCATAGAAGCATGCAGGTAAGACAATTGTATTCATCTTAATAATACATGAAACAATATACAGAAAGATTTGTTCACAAAACTAAGAGCTTCTTCTCTTCTTGCATCAGCAGACTGGATTTCTAAAATGAGGGGTGGGCCACAAAACTCTGATGTTGTGTAATGTTCGGTTCCTGTAAGAAACTGTTCCACTGGGTGGACTATACTGGAAATGAATATTACACCACAGTTTGCAGAAGAACCAAAGTACAGTTTAGTGCACTCAGGTTACATAAGCATGGACTAAACACAAAAACAAAGACTTGGCTTGGCTTTGCTTAGTGAGAGACGCACGGAAAACGGCAAATCGGTGGCAGTTCTAGTGGCGAAGCGACTGTGCAAGCGGTGCTCGTACACCCCAAATCCCGCACAGCTCTTCGTAGAGGTTATAAATATGTGGCGTATATAAATATTGAGCACGCAAATAGGTGAGCTACGACATGACCTCTCTCACACACACACACATGGGGTGAACTAACTCCAAGGTTGACACCAAAGCCAGCAAACTTTATCATGGCAGAAAGTAGCCTACACAAAGATATTATTCATCGCAATCTCACAAAGTTCTGTTATAATAAATGAAGCTGTCTGCACAATGAATCTCTTATTTACATAGTGTCTTCACTTTCTTTGTTATTATGAGAGGATTTGTGAGCGTGTAAAACTCAGGCCCCGTCCACACTACTGCGTTTTCGTTTAAAAACGGAGACCTTTTGCTACGTTTGCACCTCCCGTCCACACTAAAACGGAAAAAACGAAGACCTAAAACGGAGACGTTTAGAAACGCTGCAGCTGCGTTTTGCGTTTTGAATCTCCGGAGGGCGTTTTAGAGTAGACGGGACAAAACGGAGGACTCGGCTCTATGATTGGGTGTCATCAGTCATGACGTGTCCTTCCCTGATTCGTCAGCCACCGTTTACGCCAGCACGCGCATGCCCAGTGTTGGTGAATGGTCACGTGATCCGCGTTTTCAGTCGTTTTAATCTGGACGGAGATCAATTCTAATACGCAGATAAAACGCTGGTGTGGATTCGTTTTAATTATATAAAACGTTTCCATAATATTTGTTAATATTGTGACATTAGGCCTACATTTTCTTACTTTAATTTTTCGGAACAGCATACTTCGCGAAGTATTCACGTACAAATGTGAAGTAACGTTCTGAAGTCCTTTTTTTCTCTCTCACAGGACAGCAGCACTACAAAATTATGTTCTTTTACAATATTCCCACAATTCCCACAATTAAAATACGGTTTATTGCTGTCAATTTTAAGTTAAATCTGTAAAATCAACAACGTTGCTACGGTATTTTTAACGGTAAAGTTCTGGCAACTACAGCTGCCATTTTTTTTACTGTAAAAAATCACGGTTTAATTCTTTACAGTGTACATTTGATCAATGATCTAGCACCCCCTGAGCTCATGTGTTAAAAATGTTCTGGTGCCGCCCCTGCTTTGTTTTAGTAAGTGATATGGACAATGGTACAGGTACGAGAGATAGTCCATGGGCCAGACCAGATGTTGGTACCATCTGGGTGGGCAAAACCTTACCTGTACTAAATTGTTTATGGGGTTAATATAAGTTCATTTTAATATGATAACCTTTCCACAGTCCCAACTTTTTATACTTTTTTTAGAATTGGTAATTTTCCTACTTTTATGTCTTAGAATTATTTTTGAAAAATACACAAACGTCCAATACGATAATAACAGTGATTTAATATTAATACCAAGCAAACTAAAATATTTGTAAATATTAACAGGCATAAGTCGATATCTTTGAATTCACTCTAATATTTTGTTGTTTTGAAATCAGCATCCTCTAAAACCACTCACATATTGTAGAAATTGACAATACAGTGCAAAATATCTGGTGAAAATGGACGATTAAGCTAATAATGCTGTTAATTATGCTAATCATGCAATTTGCACAACAACATACGCAAATTAGCGTCCGACAGTTTCTGTATGTTGGGGACCCATACTTCACATTTCTGCAATAAAACTTTGGGGTACTCAATATTTCCGGGTTCACCTAGTTGGCTACTAGACTATTTCATGACATTAGGGTATTACTGTTTGACATGCTAAAACTCCAAAATGTAGCAATTTTTGGCTATTTATTTTGGAATTATTGCCTTTAACTCATTATTTCACTACTTTGGAACCTTTATTTGTGAGGAATGAACCACTTGATTAATTATCAACTGGATGAACCAGATTATTTCCATGGAAGGTACTTTTACCATTTTTCCCGCTTACTGGGGTCACAGGGTTATCTTGTCAAAACATTATCTAGGGATGCATATGATGTAAAACATGTGAAATTTTGGGTCTTGGCCCAAGGACTAATAGTAGATAACAAACGAAAGCTATGACCATCCTGCCTCCGCCCTGAGGGGGAAGGCAGGATGGTCATAGCTTTAGTATAAAAGCACCAGATAGACATTGTCCAAATCACTTACTAAAACAAAGGTAAGTCATTTTCACATAACATTTTTATAATAATTGTCAGATATCCTTCCAGTTACATATTATATTGTATTTTCTGAGACGTTTTTAAACCAAACAAAACTGTTCTGCTTTCAGTACATCGTAGGAGAAACCCGTCGCCACACATTTTTGTGTAAACCTACTAAGGATGGCTGATACCAACTGCAAGTATCATCTTATTTCATCAAACAGATTTGAAAACAATACCAGCCATAAATGTGATCTTTTTAGCCATATCAGTATTTCAGTATATTTTTTTTATCTTTTTAAAATATATGATGTGTTATTTCACCAGTGGCTGTGTCCCAGTGGAGTCCAGAGTATGTACAAGAGCTTTCCCCGGCTGCCCAAAAGATAGCGCTTCTCTACTATCTCTCTTACCTGTGCCTGGGCAAGTTCAGCAAACTGGAGAGGATCGTCAGGAGTCGCGCGGTGGAAACACAGACTCTGTTCGGCTCCTCTGATGCAACTTTGATGAAAGTACGGTTTCAGATTTCTCTTTATTTTATTAGAAGAAGAAAAAACGTTGTGTCAATTCACCAAACATGAAGGGTCTATAGTAAATAGAATGTCATATAGTCAGTCTGTCTTTTAGCTAGAGATTAATCTGAGCTAAATTGGCTATAGAATGAGAGTCTCTCCCTTAACTGGAAATAAATAATAAATAGGGCTGTCAAACGATTAATCGCGATTAATTACATCCAAAATAAAAGTCTGTGTTTACAGTACATAATACATGTGGGTGGACTGTGTATAATTATTATATATATATATATATATATATATATATATATACACACACACACACACACATGCTTGTATATATTTAAGTAATATTTTCATGTATATACTGTACAGTCATGGTCAAAATTAATGGCACCCCTGGTAAATATGATGAAAACTGGCTGTAAAAAATAATTCTGCATTGTTTATCCTTTTGATCTTCCATTCAAAAAATTGGCAAAATTCTAACCTTTCATTGAAGCAAAAGAATTGAAAGTGGGGGTAAATCACACTATGAAATAAATGTTTTTCTCCGAAACACTCTGGCCATAATTTTTGGCACCCCTAGAATTTTTTATGAGAAAAATATCTCTGAAGTACATTCCCATTAATATTTAATTTATTAAGCACATCAGGGTGACTAGGAACATGAACTTGTCCAGCTATGACTTCTAGTTTCAAGGAGTTTAAATATGAGGAAGCACAAAGGTCAAATTCTCTGAATCATCCATCACAATGAATAAAACCAAAGAACATGGTTCTTCTGATGTGCATCAAAAGATTGTTAAGCATCACAAAATAGAAAGTGGATGTAAGAAAATAGCTAAAGAATTGAAAATCCCCATTTTGACCATCAGGGCGATAATTAAGAAGTTATAATCAACTAAAGATGTTATGATTCTGCCAGGAAGAGGACGTGTGTCTATTTTGCCTTAATGGACGGTGAGGATGAAAGTTTGAGTGTCCAAAGACTCTTCAAGGATCACAGATGGAGAATTGCAGAGATTAGTTGAGTCTTGGGGTCAGAAAACCTAAAAAAAATATGTCAGACAACCCGTACATCCCCACATGTTGTTTGAGAGGGTTTCAAGAAAAATGCTCCTCTCTCATCCAAAAACAAACTCTAGCATATTCAGGTGTCAGACACGACTGGATCTTCAAACGGCACAGGCTTCTGTGGTCAGATGAGACTAAAAAAGGGGCTTTTTGGCAGCAAACCCAGCAGATGTGTTTGGTGCAAACAGGGATGAAGAGTACCCCATGCCTACGGTTAAATATACTGCTGGATCTTGTATGTTGTGGGCCTAGTTATTTGCTGGAGGTCCAAATACAAAAAGATAAAAAATAAAAACCTGACGCCTTCTGCTAGAAATCTTATAATGGGCCGTGGTTGGATCTTCCATCAGGACAACGATCCAAAACAAAAATCAAAATCAACACAAAAATTATTTACGGAGCACAAAATGAAGCTTCTGCCATGACCGTCCCAGACCCTGACCTGATGAGTGGAGTGAACTGAAGAGATGAAGCACCAACATGGATCTGGAGAGAGTCTGTATGGAGGAATGGTCTCTGATCTCTGGTCAGGTGTTCTCCAAACTCATCAGGCATTATAGGAGAAGACTCAGATCTGTTATCTTGGCAAAAGGAGGTTGCAAAAAGTTTTTAGTAACAGGGTGCCAACAATTATGGCCAGAGTGTTTTGGAGAAAAACATTTATTTCATAGTGTGATTTACCCTCACTTTCAATTCTTTTGCTTCAATGAAAGGTTAGAATTTTGCCAATTTTTTGAATGAAAGATCAAAAGGATAAACAATGCAGAATTATTTTTTACAGTTTTCATCATATTTTTTTAGCGGCCTCTATCGGTGATGTTTCAGATTGCAACCAATTTTTGAGCGCTCACTATTTGTGTATCTTTCACAATCAGCAATGTCAACATAGGTGAACGTATAATTCGATAACGAAAACGGTTACTGAACTAGACTGGACAATTTCAGTGTAACTGTTAGATCATAGGAAGTAACATTACTATACTAAACGTGTCTGGAAATGTGTATTATAAACAATATGATAGTAGTGGGATGAGTGACTTTAGACAGTAGATCGACTAGTAGGCTACATAAAATAAAAGTTACATCCTAAAGCACTTTTGTATTCATTTCATGCCTCATGTAGTTTACCTTGCTATTTCATTACAGTTTACCATTATTTCAGCATATCTGAAAACTTGTTATTTATCACAATAAAAATAGCGGCGGTCTCCATAATTCAAACGCTCTGCCGACGTTGACACGTGTTTTCGTCCTAAGTCGATCTGATTCACGTTTGGCCTGATGAGCTTCAGCAGATAGCCTACATTATTGTTTTGTTTTTTATATTTATGTGGAGTTTGTATTGGAGTCTGTGTTGTGCTGAAGACAGGTCGTTTTTTGGTGTTGTCAGACTCCATGTCGTTCGCTGCAGTGCCGTCGCATAGACTGTAAAAAGGAGAGGCTTGGGAGCGCGCATGCACGTCACATGTGATGGATTTCGCAGAAATCTGACCCGGAGACTTCACAAATAGTAATACTGGCCTTCAGAGGAAATAGCAAGTGGATCATTGTAATGTGTGATCACAACCCCTTCACACACAGGCAATAAAAAAAAGGATTAATTTTAGACGAAAAGTTATATAGCACATTTAAACACGATTGTATCGCTTCCACCAAAGAAAATAGTCCATTCCGCGTCCATAGCAATGCGCTGTTTTTCATGACAATGGTCTGTTACCGCTATTCCTACATTGGAATTCAGCCAAGCCATGTAATAAGATTTAATCAATGTCTATGGATATCTTCAACAACGATGGCACAATTTGATCTTTATAGTGTTGATGTGGCAACTAGTAAATACACCAAATTTCATCATACTAGCATGTGTGGAAGTATTTAAAACAGGTGTGTGTCAACTAGCCCCGCGTTACGTTCCCATAATATCATACGTAATATCATACGTGCCCATAATATCATAGTAGTGTATTCTACGTGATACGCAGGAATACGGCCTATAGCCTACCCATTAGGAAAGGTCAAGGATTTATGTATTCCCACTTAAAATGTGTGAGATTCTTAACAACATCGTTTTGTAACAGAACTTTCAAACTTTCATTAATAAATTCACCCCATCTGTGTTTGCGCAGCGATGCCGACCGAATCGCGGAATCCAATCACAAATGCAACTACTGTAAAGAGGAACGTCACGGAATTTGGCCATTTTTGAATGAATAAATCAAAAGTAGGGACGTATAATGAAACAAATCTCGATAAGCTCTGGTGTCTATAAATATCAAAGCTCAAAAAAGACTGCTATTGAAATAAACTCTGCGTGTGCTGTGTGTCTCTGTAACGTTAAGAGGACATCTAGTGGTCATCTAACATCTACACACTGCAGCGCGCGTTGTGCACAAATTTGATCTTCATCGCGGAGATAAAAAGTTCACAAGTGAGAGTCACTTCACAAGAATTTTACCATTTTATTTGATAAAACTATCGTCATTCATTCATATAGCATACACTCACACACTTTAAAGTTTTTAACTAAAAATTTTACAGAACAAAAACAGTCAATAAGAGTTCTGAATGTTTTTATATTCTTAGATACTTGTCCCTTCCTTTTCATAGTGTGTTTTGACCAGTGATAACCTGGTTAATACGCTGTTTCCCATGTTGGTGATAGCTGTGGAGAAGAAGAAGCCGACTTTGGCGGTCAAAATGCTAGGAAAAGCAGGAGACTGGATCACAGACATTATCACTGATGTGAAAGGGTTAGTGCAAAGGTAAGAATATTTTCCTCATGAAGACATGATATTTCAAAATACCTTGAACAGTTGAAATATTCTTCTACATGCAACTGCTATAATCTGGCAAAAGTATGACCATGTTTTAAGCTAAGCTTTTAAGCTAGTTACACAGTCCATTGTTATAAAATGCTAATTTGACAGCAACATTTCAACATTGTATAGGTATGATTCACACAACACAGATGTATCATCGGCCGCCAGTGATGTTATCCAGGAAAAAGAAGAGACAAATAAAAATAAGGCAAAACAAGACCAAGAGTTGAAGGAGAATGAAGAAGCCCTGGGTAATATGACACAATTATGGAATGATAAAACAAAAGAGATTGTTGAAATCGATCAGAAGATAAGCAGCAAAACCAAAGAGATTCAAGATTATGTCAGATCCATAACGGAAACAGATAGAGACCTCGGCATCGTCGCTGCATTCGTTCCATTCATCGGGGCGATTATTAAAAGCATCTATGATCGTGTAAAAGATCCTGATCAAGTTGCACATTTAAAGGCTCTTGAAGCTGAACTGAATGTCCTCATCGCTGAGAAGACTGTTCTGAAACAGAAGCAGTGGCAGCTCCAACTCCAGATCATTGATTGGCAGATGAAGGTTGCCAGAGCCAGTTTTGAACGGAGTGAGTCTGTTTTATTTCATGTTTAAAGTACAATTACACTCATCGCTTTTTTCACATAGACAAGAAAATCACTACTTAAAAGGTTGTAATTAAAGAAGGCTTTGAAATATAGACATAGGGTTGTATGGCGGCAATTCAATGCCAATAATAAACGAGCGCACAACTAATGCTGGCGCGCATGACATCTCCTCTGCAATACGCAATACAAGCCCTCGCACACGCATTTAGAAAAGTTAGATGATTAATATCGCTATATAATGTTATAATATCTACTTTGGTGGATTTAAGCTGGGTTTAGTAGTTTGCTGGGTTTAATTTGGTTCCTCTGTATTCTGTGGCAAATTCTGAAAGGCATTTGTAAGCTATAGCCTAATTAATGGTGTACTGTATGTTAACTACTGTTAACTGTATGTTAGAAGCCAGAACCCCCTTTACATTTAATAGAAAATATAGGCTAATGAACCATTTATTTTACGTAAAAATGTATAATATACATATTATAAATAATATGTGTATGAGGACTCTATAAAGTCTGTTCATAATGTAAATTCACATTTGTTCTATATCTAGCTGGAGAAAGTACATGCAGTTCACTCTCTTGTTCGATACCAAAGTATAAACACAATTATAAATATAGCTGCAAGCAGCAATACAGGGGCCAAGCCCGGAAGCAGCAGCAACTCCGACATTTGAAAAAAAAAACTGTTGGGTCAGTAGTACAAGTGAAAATAACCTCAAAATTAAGATTTTTTTAAAATTATAAATTTGCTGCATATTATATTTTTTGAATTCCTTTCTCAGACAGACACCATGTCTAGAACTGAAACAACTTTTCTACCACTTAAGGCCACAGTACCTCTTGCGGTCTGGGCATGTGCCACACAGGATTCGAACCCACGACCGCAATGGTTCGGGATTCGTGACACATGGTTTAGCAGCTTGCGCCACACAGAAGACGCAAATAACTGAGCTGCAGAGGAGAGCCTTCAGTATAAGAATAAGCACACAAAATCATGTTAACGCAATTAGCATGCTAAGCTAGCTCAATGCTAACGTAGCTAATGGTTATCCTGATAGCTGAAGAGCCGCATTCAAAAGAATGGCACCTGGTTAGCATGCTAAACAATTATTATGCTAAGCTAACTAGCATAAGGCAACAAACACAGGCCAGGTCAACTTTGGAGACAAATGTCTCTCAAACGGTAGCAAATATCAAAAATCTATTCATCTATTCATCAATCTATTTCTGTGCGGCTTGGTCCAAAGATTATCTGACCAAATTTTAAACAAATTCGAGCAAGATTTGAAGGAGGAGTAGCGAAAAAATGGTTTTTCATTTGTTCCAATATTATAATACTGATTTAATGGGGGTCTGATAATTCATATCTCTCCGTTCGAAAAGACGTGATTGTCAAAATACTAAGTTAGAATGGGTGAGGATTGGAATGTGGGGAGCGATAGAGCACGTGTTCCAATGAGCATCGTATTGCTGGTTCACTCGCTCACTCTGTATTATGGGTTTGTGGTGGTAAACTAAATTTTGCGGCAATTTCATTAGAATGGCATTACATAAAGTGAATAGCCTCATCAGTGAACATGTTTTCTGCTGGAGATGCTAGCTGGCAGGTTGTCATTGACAATGACAACAACTCCCATGAGCCCACGCTCTTTCCCGACATCATCAAAGTACGTCCTTTGTTAGTGACCCCTATTTGCCAAAAATTACATACTGTCCCAGATAGCAAACTGACATTGAATCAACGTGGAAATATGACATCGAAACAACGTTGATCTGACATTGTTTTGCTCATCGAATTAACGTTAAACCAACGTCAGACGCGTCCTTCTTTCAAAACTAAAGGAAAACCAACTTGAAATCAACGCGTTGTTTCAACGTTATGAAAGCAAACCAATTTTCGATTTTTATTTAGCTTTGAAGAATGCCGCGTCTGACGTTGGTTCAACGTTAATTCGATGAGCAAAATCAACGTTGTTTCAATGTCATGAGAGACGTCGTTTCCACGTTGATTCAATGTGTTTGCTGTCTGGGGTACGTTTTAGTGTTTTTGTCTGTCTTTCCCCCTCAAATATAAATTGAAAAAAACTTAGTACAATAGGGTGCCTACGGAGCCCCTAAAGGGACGTGGTGGTGGAAAAACTTTTTAGGATGAAAGAATTTTTTTTCTCAAAACGTTTGCTTTCCCCCGAGAAACTTTGCGTTCCCTCGTAAAGATATTGGCGTTCCCTCGCAAAACCTGTTGGCAGCTCGGACAGACACTTCCTGTTTAATGTCCCGCTGGCAGTGTTTCAGAGCTCCGTACGTTAATGGAGCGTTTCATAGTGTTTGAACTTGGACTCAAATATAGAGAAATGCGGTCAGTGCTTAACTCAAGCTGCTCAGTGAAGTTGGCAATATATTCACATGCTATTCGAACTTCCCGGGTCAATATTCTTCAGCTAAACGTTGTTAAAACACAGACGACACCTATTTACAATCACAGTAACCTAGACAACGAGCTACAACCAAGCGGCAACATTCTAATCTGAAAGATGAAGCCTACCCGTAAGTGCGAAAAACTGCAATACATCTCAAATCCGCTAGAGGCCGGTCCCGAAAGGGAGCAAATATCCATAGACGTCATGTTAAAATATCTGTTTTCACAGCATAAATTCATGTTTACAGTTTGGTCCCATGGTCTTTTATTGTAATCTTCAATATGTTCCGCATACCTGACAACTGCGCGGGGGTGAATTTTTTTCTAACTCGTTAGTTTAGATCATATTAAGATATAAAATGTATGACAAATAAGGGCGGTTAACTTTGATTGACAGCTGATAACGGGCTGCGCCGAGTGAATTTGACGTCTCGGCCATGATCTGACGCAACACATCATACCACCTCAGTATCCTTTCTGAAACTTTTGTATTTTCCAAGATTTTCCAGTATGGCGCCGCCCATACCCCCCATAAACAGCCTCAAACCCGTTCTTCAGAGAGTCTACGGGTGACGTCACAGACGCTTTGTCCATATTTTTTACAGTCTATGGCTACAACCCAATGGGCTCTATGCACGGCGGTATTTCCGGTGAAGGTCTAAGGATGCTCGATAACTTCCGCCGATCGTAGAGTCCAATGCAATACCGAGAATTTATATTGAATTTTATACTCCATGGTTATACTAAAGAAACGTTAGTCACAAAAAACAGACAAAACAGACATATTTACAGTATATTTCTTTATATTTGAGTCCAAGTTCAAACACTATGAAACGCTCCATTAACGTACGGAGCTCTGAAACACTGCCAGCGGGACATTAAACAGGAAGTGTCTGTCCGAGCTGCCAACAGGTTTTGCGAGGGAATGTAAATATCTTTGCGTGGGAAGTCAAAAAAGAGCTCGCAACATATAAAAAAACAAACAAACAAACAAACAAAAAACTACAAATGAACTAGTTCATTTTAAAATGTGTGAACTGAACTTTGAACTAGTTCATGTAGAAAGTGAACTTTCCCAACACTGTATTTTTGGTTGATGGACTTTGAGTGAGATTTTATCTGGGTGCAGTACCAAGATTTTTCACTAGATGGACAGCCAGCTTTCTACTGGGCACCTGCATTTTTATTAAAATATGTTTTGAGTGACCTGAACCATATATTTCCATAATTTTCATACAATTTATGAAGTATACATCCTATTCAGAAATAATATAATATACCTATAAAAAGAGCATTGCTGCATTACAAATGTAGGATCTACGATATTTTTTGGTTGAAAACAAACTGAGGTTCCTACCAATCTTTCATGATTTTTCATGTTTATTTTTCTGTTTCAAAATAAAGGCCTAAACACGGCTAATGAATATGAAATATTCCTCTGTAATTTTACTAAGATATTATTGTTCTAAAAATATATGAGTGTCACTTAACCCCTTGTTGAAACCTTTATTTCCCCTCTGCAGACTCCATACCCGACCCCATCCTTCTTGACAAAGTTCAGAAAAGCTTGTCACAAATTCATGGCATTCTGGTTGATGTCCTAAACTTCTGGAAGGATGTTGAAAATAGGCTGGACTCCCTGAAACAGAAGACCTTTGCTGGAGAAGATTTCCTTGAAGAATTTGACACATTTAAAGATAATTTTATTGATTCAATCCAAAAAGCCAAAGAGGTAAAATGAACGTTTACACGATTACAAGAACATTTCCATTACATTTGTAATCTTTTCAGAAATATTTCCATTACAAATATTCTTATTCTTATTATCTTTATTTGTACCTGAGTGGAAGGCTTGGGTGTTCCCTCTTAAATGGCAGTCTTAATTTTTTCATATAAAAGTCTATTGTGACTGTGCCTTGGCTTTTGGCTTGCTTAGTTGGGGGCATTTAATATTCAACAATATTATTAATCTGCCTTACTAAATGCGGACGATGGCACAATTTTCTCCTAAAAACAAACTGGTTGTTTTATTTTCATGTTTTCAATGTGAAGCTGCTTTGATGAAATCTGTATTATAAAAAATGCTATATGAAAAAAGGTGACTTGACTTGTAAATGTTTTTATTTCACAGGCTTGGAGAATTTTTGCTGTCAGCTGTCAACAAGCATCTGTCATATTTAGGCTCCAGACCAAAGATGCCTACAAGTTTCTGGAGATCAATCCTTCCTCTCTCTCTGAGGAGGAGTGGGAAAGAACGTACAAAAGTGTAAAGAAACAACTGGAGGAAATTGACAGACCACAACAAAGAGTGACATCCACTGTTGGTCCAACCCACGCAGCCCAACTCAGACAAACATCCACTGTTAGACCTGGTCTTGAATGATCAGAGCGCTGACACACACACACGAGTCCTCTTTGAGTTTTCTGCCTCATGATGCTGTAATCTGGGATGATGATGATGATGTTTAGCCTTTATAAACCCTGTACTTGTAAACCGCAGAGTTCTGTAATCCTTTCTACTAATGCCTAAAACACTATATACTCCTCTCCATATGTATCATCTCTTTATGAGCTCTTGCAAAAAGACTCTTGATGAATGGATAAAAATGGACGAATGCTTTATGAATAAAGTCTAATAACATAATTATTGACTTTTGTGGGTTTTTTTAAATAATTTAACTTTTTTATGTCTGAAGTCACTGAACTAATTTTTCTGTAGCAAATATTTCATCATCTTAAACTACTTCTGAAGTCACTGGATGCACAAAAATTATCACATTATACAGGTTACAAATATTTTCGTGTTTTATTCTGATAATAAATAAGCTCCCTTGTGCGGATGATTTTAACACAGTTTACCAGAACAGTGATGGATTATTATATCACAACATTCACTCACTGGTGGCACAGTCAGTGTCACCCTGAACATGTTTTAGGTGTAAACTTGCTGGTATAGCCTTTAAAATAATTCTCAGTCATTGGATATAAAGATAGAAAAGCTGTGTAATAATTTTATGGTGTTTGTGTCACAGAGTAATTACTGAAGTACTTTAAAACAAAATGTAATAACATGCAACAAAATCTACTTAATTTGTTACTAAGGAATGGCAACGCCTGTTCTTACAATTTGTAATAACCTGTGTGTGTGTGTGTGTGTGTGTGTATATTAGTGGTGGGCATAGATTATTTTTAAAAATCTAGATTATTCTCACTGTAATCTTGAAGTTAATCTATATTGAAATGGCTCATTTGAATTCTGCCGAAGGCATTCAGAATACGTGGCTATAGCTACATATTTGATATTGTCTATTTAGGCTAATTATAGCATTGATTACTGTGGAGGGGGAAATCCTCCACCGGCAAATTGATTTGCTTGGTTAACGTTATGTGTGTTGTTTTTTTAAATCTAGCCTAACCTAACCCTAACCCTAACCCATCCTTGGGATGATTAACTATTTGGCCAGATTCGCACCAAGCCTCTCTGAGATAAACGCACCACTACGCCAACTGCTAAAGCAGGACACTGAATTTTTATGGGACAAAAACCACAACAAAGCATTCACGCAGACAAAAAAAACTGATAACAGATCACCCTGTGCTCGCATACTTTGACCCATGAAAAGAACTCAGACTCCAAGTAGATGCCTCAAAATGCGGCCTTGGCGCTGTCATCCTCCAAGACGGTAAACCCATTGCCTATGCTTCCAAGTCACTAAACAGCACCGAAGTGAACTACGCCCAAATAGAAAAGGAACTATATGCAGTTTTATTCGGCTGCAAGCGTTTCCACGAATACATGTATGGCCGGAGTGTGCTTGTAGAATCTGACCACAAACCTCTGGAAGCAATCCTCCGAAAACCGCTGGCTGCAGCACCACCGCGACTACAGAGGATGATACTACAGCTTCAGAAATATAACATCCACATCATCCACCGGCCCGGAAAGGACATCCCAGTGGCCGACACCCTGTCCCGGAAATCCATCGAGCACCAAGACAGCAGCCTCATGGAAAGCATGGAAGCACAGGTACATACACTCATAAGTACTGTTCCAGTGAGTGACAGCAAGCTAGTGGAGATCAAGGATGCAACAGCACAAGATGCACAGCTCGCTACACTCAGAAAAGTCACACAAAACGGATGGCCCGACAAAAGGAGGAAATGCCCGCTTGACATCCAGGAGTATTGGAACCACCGAGATGAAATTTCTGAGATGGATGGAATACTCTTCAAAGGAGAGAAAATCATAGTTCCCCAGAGCCTCAGAGGAGACATGCTCCAGCGCATACACGCAGGACACATGGGAGTAGAGAAAAGCAAGCATAGAGCACGAGACCTCCTGTTTTGGCCTAGAATGGGAAAACAAATAGAAGCCATAGTAGAACAGTGCTCTATATGCCAAGAACGACGTGATGCTAACCCAAAAGAACCCCTGTGGTCACATGACATACCCGAGAGACCATGGCAGACTACTACAGTAGATTCTTTGAAATGGAGCAACTCACAAGCTGCACCTCACTTGCAGTAATCGCCAAACTTAAGTCTGCGTTCGCCCGTCACGGCATCGCAGAGACAGTCATCAGTGACAACGGACCGTGCTACAGCTCTGAGGAGTTCCGCTGCTTCGCAAACGCGTGGAACTTCACCCACACCACCACAAGTCCACGCTACCCACAGAGCAACGGCCTCGCTGAAAAGACCGTCCAGACAGCAAAGCTCATCCTGGACAAGGCAAAAGCCGGAAACACAGACCCCTACCTCGCCCTGCTGGAGTACAGGAACACCCCAGTAGACAACCTTCAGTCACCGGCCCAGCTTCTGATGAGCCGACGACTACGTTCCATACTCCCAGCGACCAGTAGGCACCTGCAGCCAAAGGTAGCACCCCAGAAAGCTATCCAAGACAGACGAAAGGCGTGCCAACGCCGCCAACAAGCATACTTCAACAGAGCCACCAAGCCATTGTCTCACCTTCCTGTTGGCACACCCATTCGTTTCCGTCAAGAGGATGGTTCATGGAGACCTGCAACGGTAACACAACATGCACACACACATAGAAGCTACCACATCCAGACAGAAGATGGACAAACACTACGACGCAACCGTTAGCACCTCCGCGAAAGCAGAGATGCTCCAGACACTAAAGACACACCGCATACAGAAACACACACCAATAACACACAGCCACCACAAGCTGAGCCTGCGGACCACCCGCAACCAACTAACCAACAAAAGCCCAATTACACAACACGGTTTGGCCGCATCTCCAGACCAAGACAAGTCCTTGACTTGTAATGTAAAGGGTGTAGGCGGATCGCTGCCCTAAAAAAAAAAAAAGTGAAATGTGAAAAGAAAATGTGTTTACTGAATTGAAAAAAAGTGTTTACAAACTTGTTACTTACCTGATACCTCTGCTGTGAAATCAGTTTGACTGCCTGTTCTGTCTTTTCTTTTCTTTCCTTGTTTTTCCTTTCTTTTTTTTTCACAACTAGGTCACCTAAAAGTTACTTGAACCATACAAAAATCAAAACATTGTTTCTGATTCTAAAAGTAATGACCTGTCTACATCTTATTTCATTTATATGCTGCCAGTATTTGTTTACATTACTGCAATAGCACCAATGATGACCACGGACTGCACTTTCAGAATGCTTATATGCATTAAGCACAATTGTTATGTTCACGGAATTAATGTTATGTGTGTTAAGTAATGCCAATTGTTTCATAAGTAAGTAAGTAAGTAAGTAAGTAAGTAAGTAAGTAAAATTTATTTGTATAGCACTTTTCTCAGATGAAGATCACAAAGTGCTTCACAACAAAAGAAAGCATTTACAACTCTCATAAATACATTGCATCACAAAACAAAATAAAATACATAAAATAAATAAAATAAACAATACGTACACATTAGACCACCCTAACCACCCTACAATCTAGTTAAAAGCCTCTTTAAAAAGCAGAGTTTTCAGATGATTTTTAAATTGTTCCACACAATTTAAGCCGCGTATGGAAGGAGGCAAAGCGTTCCACATAAGAAGGGAGATGTAACATCCTGACTGTATGTCCCAAAAGTAGATCCTCGTGTTGTGTTTTACGTGTTGACTTGAGCTTGTATTTAGGAGAAAAGACCATCCTGATCGCGTGAGCAAAGTGCACACTTTTCTTTAAATCACCCTGCACTGACGCCTATAGACGAATCCGACGAGCGTTCTGTGTAGGCTGCCATCTTTGTGGCGACGCCATTACTGAGCTATCACACAGGCATATAGACATATGCACCGGTGTGTAAACAAACCTCGGTGATAACGCGAACTCACCCTCGATGACAGCTACAGCCAGGCAGAATGACTTGTTGGTTTGATCTGTGACTGCAGTGGCCTCCAGTCACAGATGAAGGTACAAACGATCTTACAGATTAACGTTATTTATGCAAATAGCTTGGCAAGCTAGCTAGGCTAACGTTTGCTAACGAGGAAACTATAAAAAGATCTGTCCATTTGGCAACAATAAATAAATGAATGAAATCAAATAAACAAATTCATGTTTTTCATTTGTGTCCATTATTTATCTCATTTTCACATTGCAACAGGCAAGGGTAAGGTAACGTTACAGCTAGAAAGTTGCCTACATAATATCGACCAATTAGTGTTTTTAAACCATGTGTAGCCTGTGGGTTTGAGACGTTCTGTGTTTATCTCTCTCATCTCCCCCTTTCTCTGTATCATTTCGCTTTCGCTTTCTCCCCGTGTTGCTGCGGTAGCTAATGTGGGTGGGAGTGGTTGGAAATTGAGAGCAGGCAGGTATATAGGCACCTGGGGTCCTCATGCCGGTAGCAAAACATTGTAGCTAGCTGTTAATGGGTCGGAGTGCAGCAGTATTCCGGGGTGCGGTGTTTAGCGCAAGGGATTGCGAGTGACGACCAACAGCGCTATGGTTTGTGTTTATGCTCCCGAAACATGCTGGAATGTTTGGATTGATGAACACAGAGGAGCGTTTTTGTGACCCTGGTGAGATTGTGCAGCTGCAAAACACTGTCTGCCCATACGATTGCTAGCCGGCCGGCAGAAGCTACAGCCAGTCCATTGTCGGCTGCTGTTCTCTTTGAATGTGTATGAATGTGCAGGTGCTGCTTGTTAGACATTTTGTTTGATACTGTTTTTTTTTTTGTTTCTTTTCTTTTTTTTCTTTTCCACTAGCCGGTGGGTTGTAAGAGAATTGTGTTGGTGAAACAAAGTGTGACCACCGGCTAGTGTTATTTTTCTTTTTTTTCTTAGTTGTTGTTGGTGTCTTCCCCTTCCCCAGTAATAGTCTTGGGGTGGATCGGGCCCATAGGAAAGACTAGCGACCAGGTGCTAGCTTAGTTTCCTTCGTGTGGCACCCATTATTGGAACCATTGTGTGTAGTGTAATGCTGTGAGTGTGCACCTCTTAGAAGTGGCTCAAAGAGCATGATTGCTGTGAGTGTGTAAGCGGAGTTTAGGTTTGGCTCTACCGTAAGGGTGTGCTCTAGTTCACGGGTGGTATTGAAACCTAGGCCTGGGTAAACTTGTCCTCCGGTGGCCCGCCCTCCTATGGCTTATCCCTATGTCATGTGATGTATGTTCATGTTATTTATTCACAACCCTAAATGACTCAATTTTAACTT